CATCATGGGTGTTGATCCTTAAATAGGATGTAGCCCAGAGGCCCAGCAAGCCTTTTGTGTCCATTGAAGGGGAAGACAAACCCACTAATCTTAACTATCCCTGGAAAGGTTGAAGCAGGAGGCACTAACATCTGTTTTAGGAACTTGAGCTGAAAGAGGTTGAGATACGAGAGAGCAAGGAACGTGAGTAGCATTTTTTGTTTGCTTTGTTTTGTAGAAGTCTTGCTTCTTCTACCCCTGCCTCTTGCCAACAGGAAAAAAAGAAGAGTGTGAAATGCTACTGAAGTCTAGAAAATGCTACTAAACTTGTATTTTTTTTGGGGGGGGGAGGGGAGAGTGCTGGAGGATGTTTCAGTCTCTCTGATCCTTGGAAGGAAGATTAGACAGGGAGTTGAGGGGAGAAAAAGTGAATATTGGACATGCAGTGTACATGCTTGAGTACAGTTTTCAGGAATTAAACGTGCTAACTAGTGGACCCACTGTCCCCAGAAAGGTATCTATCATAAGCAAGAGTTAAATGAACAGGCTTGGGGCTAGGAATGGTTTTAGCTTTCAGCTGTATTTATATAGCCTTGGGAATTAGAAAACAATTTAAAACTCAGGACAATTAAGCTGCCACAGTATCAGTATATACCTGGAGAATGAAACTGAACTAAAGGGTGGTGAAGGTCATCAAAGTGAGTTGTAGCATTTTATGCATGAATGTTGTATTATAACCCGCAGCTAAAATAATCCCTTAATATAAGGATGATGTGCCATCAAACTGGAATCTGTATAGGCTTTGGTACTAAATTCCAGTTAGTATAATTCAATACATCTTCTTTTAACAACTGCAAGCTCCAAAGAGAAACCAATGTTTTACATGGCATTATCCAGAATCCTTTTATAGTTGGAACTTTTATAGCTACTGCGGACAACAAAACTGGCAAAGCCTTATTTTTGAATGTGCACCGCTTTCTGTAACTTCTGTGGCTACTCCTGTCCATGCTGGAACTTCTGCAATGACTGTCAGTAACTGCTTTTCCCCCTGGTGGCTTCACTCTGATGATCATTTCTCAAGAAGTCAATTTGCAACACCTGTACACTCCTTACTTGTCTCTGCAGTTAGAGTTAAGTACAGCATGGACTAAAACATGACCACAAATGCTTTCAGACGTTTCTTCCAGAATAATGCTGTCTATGCCGAAATACTGTTTGTGTCAAGTACTGAATCAAACTTGGTTCTTTTTTGTTTTGGCCTTGCTACTTCTGTGTCTCAGGCAGTAGCAAAGCAGTAGCAGTAGGTCTTCTGTGATTTGTGGGGGCTTTCAGCTTCTGGTAGGATAGTAGTTGGAACAAAAATTATTTAAGAGCTTTCATATTCACAGTGGCAGCTGGACTGGCAACAGTCTTTCCTGTTCTATGTTTGCTGTGTTCTTGTTTTATGAACTGCAAGCACTGTTTCTTGGTGGTATTTCCACAGATAAGCATATTTATTTCCCACTGTAGTGAAGATTAGTTAAAGTATTTTATAATGCCAATCTTGGCATCCCTTCTTAATATTAACTGGAGTCAGTCTGATGTCCATCCAAACATAATGTGCATCACGTTGCCTTGTTCTCTTCTGAGGTTTTTGTAACTGTTATGAGGTTTTGTCCTTTGCTTCATACTGGTAGTGTGAATCCAAGTTTCCTACTGCTTTTAGTAACTTAGAATTGTTGAGAATCATCAGACTTTCATCTTTTTGTAATGCTTAGAATTATACTTTTGCAGTGGGGGAACATTAGATGCCAAATTACTACTTACTGTCTAGTGCTTTTTCCCTGCTTGACTGGAGGTGATGGTATTTTTTGGGTGCTGATGACGGCCACCTCCATGCTCCGTGCGTGGATTCACCAGTACAGACAAAGAACTGCAGGGAGGAAGCAGGCATTGCTTGTTTCATCTGCACTTCTGTCTGCCCTAATAAGAAACATCCATTGACTCTGGTAATGGTCAAGCAAAGGCCTGCAGGAAAACAGGGTTCACACACAATCCTTCAGCGCTGCGAGGAGTCTTACATAAGAGATTGTGAGTTTTTCATGGCTAGAAGATGAGAGAGAGAAGTCTTGCAAGCATTTATAGAATATGGTGAATTTGATTTTTTTTTCAGTTATTTTTCCCCCTTATTATATTTTGCAGATCTTTTAGGAATAGTCAACCAAATCCCCTTCACCAAGGGGTCTTACAAGATACACATATTTAAAACCGCTAAACTAAGCCATGTCCTAGAAGAAGGGGACAGTAATGCTTGTTATTGTTGACAGTTGATTGTCTAACTTGTTCTAAAGACCACCAGTGTTGGAAATTCTGTAAGTTGCCAGGTGTTATATTCCAATGCTTCATTATCCTTAATTTGAGATTAATTGTCCTATACACCACAAAGAAGAAAGTGGTGTTCTCTCTAGTTTGTTTTCCCTCCCTTTTCTGTGGTTAAACTGTCCTAGTATTTTCTTTGAATTTTTTCATATTTTCTAGACCTCAGTGCTTTCCTATGGACATTTCCAATATTTTCACATTTTCTTGAGCACATTGCCTGAGATTGGCTGTAGTGCTTCTACTTAGTACATGATGTCCTCATCAGTTCAGTGGGGGGACTGTTTCATGTTTTGCAGTCTGTATTCCTGTGTAGGGATCTTAATGCTGTGATTCCCTTTTTTCATTATAGGATGAAGTGTAAAAGTTCATTTGTGCTTACAGAGTACCTTCATACGTAACTCTTGACAGACCTTCTTTTTATATTTCTTAACAACAGTACTTCTGACAAAGGACTGTATATAATGAATGTAACAACAATTTATGAGCCCTCCATAAAGTTATAGTTTATTCTTTTTTGCAGGCTGCTGCAGCACTCAAAACTTTGGGGTATAAAATGCTAATTCAGTGTTTAGTTTCCTTGTATGACACTGATTCACTCTGCTGATCTGCTCCACCATCCCATGCCCCCTTCCCACAAGGCTGATGTTTTAGTACCTTTATGACTCTTTTCAATTCAGTTAAGAAATAAAAGGAAAGGTTTTTCTATCTGAATCAGAACAGGAATGAAACCACCTTTTAAATGGCTTGCAAATAACACTGGGCTAATATTTGTATCTGTAATTCTTTAGGTATGCCATAGAATGATAGACTCATAGAATGTTTTGGGTTGGAAGGGACCCCTAAAGGTCATCTAGTCCAACCCCCCTGCAGGAGAAGGGACACTGCTAACTAGATCAGGTTGCTCAGAGCCCCGTCCAACCTGGCCTTGAATGTTTCCAGGGATGGGGCCTCCACTACCTCTCTGGACAACCTGTTCCAGTGTTTCACCACCCTCATTGTAAAGAATTTCTT